AGAGTGTTTGGGATAGTGGCAGAGCCACTGTCACCCCTCCCCCCACTCCCTGTTGTCTGGTCCCCTACCACCCATGCCCCACACCACCCTCATTGTGCAGAGATACTTCTGTGGGAAGAAAAGGAGACTAATAAAGTGGTGGCAGCAGCTGCAGCAGCTGTATAAGGGGTTGTTTTGAATTCCCATGGGCTTCCTGGTCAGCTACAGATTGTGGGCCCTCCCACAATGCCTTGGCCCTGAGTGCCAGACCTTCAGCAAGCAGCTGGCTGCACAGTGGCCATGATCTAGAGGGAATTGGCTAACTACCAGCTATTCCAAAACCATGTGCTGTTATTGTTGTTGCTGCTGTTACTGCCATTACAATCTTCTCTCTCCCCCGCCCCCATGTAAGCATTCTTATACGTAGATAGCTGGTGTGGTATAGTGGGATAGAGTGATGAACCAGGACTCAGGAGACCTGGGTTGAAATCCCTGCTCATCCATGGAAGTTCATTAGGGGGTCACTGATTAGGGATGTGGAAGTAGTAAATCCACTTACAACATAGTTTATGTCATTTGAATTAACTTGATTTCCCTGTAGTTTGCTTATTTAGTGCCTGATAAGGACTGCAGCTTAATATATTTTGTATTTAAACTTGTATTCAGTGATGGAGTAGTTTCTGTCCACACTGTTAGCTCTGTGGTGGTTCCTTAATCTGTCACTCAGTGACACGACATTCATCATATGATGGAATATAATAACATACTTGATCTTGCTCTTATTCTTTTCTCCTCAACAACTAATTTTGCCCAGCTACTTTGACTCACAATTTGTTGATCTTCTTAATTAAACCACAGCAATCAAAGCTGGATAAATAGCAACTAAACATCTAGATTAGCATCACTCTCTTTATTTTTGAGCCACACCAGCTGATATAAAGTTTGAGCTCACACAAAGTTTCCACTCTTTTGGTTGAATAGCAGAGTGGGTGTATGGAAATGTCATCATTTTGGCAATCAATCAAACTATTAAGGTCTTGGCTAAAAGGCCAGACTGATTCTGTTATGCTGAATGAGGTGGCGATCTGCTCTGGCTGGGGTACAGGGTGGGTAACTTAGAGTCAGAGAGAAGAAGGTGCTCCTGAGACTTTAAGAAAATAAGAGCCTTTTGCTTCTTCTCAACCAGGGTGTGGTATGCCTTTGTTCTCATTATTAAGATGTAATAGAAGACACAACATGTTTAAAAATAGCACTTTCCTCCAGCAGAATGCTATGCTGGCAAAGATAGTGATAACAGAAGTAAGTTTGCTCAGGGACTCTTCCCACCTTCTCTGGGACACATCCACTTTGCTTTTATAAGGTCATAAAAATAGACTACTGTGTCTAATCAAACCACGGCTCCTCAGGCTGAAGTAATCAACAAGTGAAAATTTTAAAAGCTATGGCTGGTTTATGAAGAAAAAGAATCCTGGAGCTGCATTTGTGTTTTCAATAGTAACTCATCATGAAGGATTTTTTTTACAAATTAGACTTTTCAAGTCACTTCATCTCTATGTTGGGAAAAGTTAATCTGGTTAAACTCCATCACATCAGGTTGCTCTTAAGGCACAGCAGCAGGGCCAATAAAACATGGTAATTTGAAATATAGAGCAGTGTCTATTTAGGGCTGCCAGCTTACTTCCTGACCTGATGTCTGAAAGGTTGAAGGACAAGCCTCAAAGCACACCAAAAGTCCCAGGCAAAGGTCCTAAGCAAGCCAATATATGTTTGAGTAATAAGTCTGCTTACTAAACAGTCAAACCAGAGTCAGCAGTTATATAACACCTGGCATGAACTTATTGGCTGGTCATATCACTTGACCTGTATGCATCTTAAAGCTTTAGTATAAATTCTAGCCACCTGTAGCAGTGATATAGGAGAGGAAGGTCATACAGGCATCAGAATTACAAAGGAACAAAATAGGGGTCAAATTGTGATTTACACCCTCAGTGGGAAATGTCATAAAGAATGACGAAATAAAAAATAGGCATCAAAGCTTGAAAGTACTCCAGATTCCATCTAGGATTGCTTTGAAACTTTTCAAAATCATTTTCTAAATGTAGGACACATTTCTGCTGGTGTTGACATAAGGTCTGTGTAATTTAATGGAGCAGATTTTGTACAATTGGCATCCTTTAGTCTCGAGAGACTATGGTAGCGGGCTCTGAACAGAGATCTTGGAACAGCGTCTAGTGTGGCTAAGAAGGCCAATTTGAGACAATCTCTTCCACACTGAAGACAAATACAATCTGTCCCCTGTCCAGGTTCATGATTTGGCTGATTTTGGGACTGCCTCTTTGCCTTGGCCTGCTGAACAAGTGTCTCTTCAAATTGGAAGAGACCATGCTGCACTGCTTGCCTCCAGGCTGAATGCTCAGATGTTAAGGTTTCCCATATGTTGAGGTCCATTCCTAAGGCCTTCAGATCCCGCTTGAAGATATCCTTGTATCACAACTGTGGTCTCCCTCTGGGGCACTTTTCCTGCACTAACTCTCCATACAGGAGATCTTTTGGAATCTGACCACCATCCATTCTCACAACATGCCCAAGCCAACATAGATGTCGCTGTTTCACTAATGTATACATGCTAAAATTTCCAGCTCATTCTAGGACTATTTTATTTGGAACTTTGTCCTGCTGGGAGATGCCAAAAATGTGTTGGAGGCAACGGATAGAGAATGTGTTCAACTTCCTCTCCTGCCATGCACAAAGGGTCCAGGACTCACTGGAATACAGGAGTGTGCTCAGCACACAGGCTCTATAGATCTGGATCTTGGTATATGCCATCAGCTTTTTATTAAGCCATACTCTCTTTGTAAGTCTAGAAAACATGGTAGCTGCTTTGCCAGTGCGTTTATCCAGCTCGACATCTAGAGAGAGTATGTCAAAGATCTTGTAAGCCACCCAAAGATCTTTGAGTAGTGTGGGCGGCATATAAATTAAATCAATAAATCAATAAATCAATAAATCAATAAATCAATAAATGAATGAATGAATAAAGGGAAGGAAGGAAGGAAGGTAGGTAGGTAGGTAGGTAGGTAGGTAGGTAGGTAGGTAGGTAGGTAGGTAGGTAGGTAGGTAGGTAGGTAAGTACACAAAATCATGAACAACCTCCAATTCTTGTATCAAGATGGTAACAGAGGGAGGTGAGTCCATGACCTGGCCCATGACTTGTGTTTTCTTCAGGCTGATTGTTAATCCAAAATCTTGGCAGACCTTGCTAAAATGATTCATAAGTTGTTGGAGGTCTTTGCCAGAGTGGGCAACAATGACTGCTGTTATTTATTTATTTATTTATTTATTTGGATTTCTATCCCACCCATATAGACCTATGTCGAATGTCAAAGGGATCTGATGTTGAGCCATCAAAAACTACAGTGCCCTTCATTTCCTCATGAAAGGACCTGATGATGTTAAGGAGCCTCCTTAGCAGATTTTGGCTAATTGACAAAATGGGAGGGAATATCTCTGTCATGTGCCTGATAACACACCCAACTATGCAAGAGAGATGTGGTCTGACATCTTGTCCATTAGTTATATCAGATTATGCAGATCTTAATGTAAATACCAACAGAATGCCAGCCATAAAAGAAACATACTAAATAAAGTTATAATCTTGAAGAAAGGAGAATTACTGGCATTGGAATCCTAATTTTTTTTTCCAAGCTTTGACCAGAGGAGCTATCCTTTTTAAAAGATGTTTTCAAAATACTGTACATTAAATGAGACACCCATCTCTTAACCAGCTTGCCTGGCACAGGGCAAGAAATATTAGGCTGTTAAGTCCAGCCAGTGCTTTTTTCTTTTAATGTATTTTCGTGCTCTATGATAGTTGATCAGCTACATGTGACACAAAGATTCTTTGGAACCTCATGCATTAGTCAAAGCAGAAGTGAATAAACTCTTCCCAGGCTCAAATGTTCCACCAGATGGCTTAACAGGCTATGACCGGTTCCATCAAACAGCAGATCAGATAATGGGCTGAAGAACCCAGGGTACAAGAAGCCAGGGTACGAGTTAACACCTCCCCTGCCCTTACAGGTGTTTGTTCCAGATGCTGGCAGTCTCTTTAGAGCAACCACAAAACCATAGGGCCATCATTTTAGGTACAGTATAAATGAGGCAGTGTGGTTTAGATTATTTTACTGATAATGTAACATTTGCTTATATTTGTATAGCCAAGAATATATCTTTTCTTCACTACTAGTTTCAAAAAACTCATGTCAAGTGAGGACTCTTCGCTGTCAGTGTACAGTGGAATCCTAAGAAGGTTTACTTGGGAATAAATCTCAGGTAGTGCTTTTCACACACAAGGCGAGTAAGGCAAGTTCTTCTCTTTGCAGCAAAAAAATGAGAATATTATAGGGAGAGAGAGGTACAGACTTCGGGGCCCACAACTGACTTGTGTGAAGTTCTGTGATCTGAAACTCAACTGGGCTTTGAGAGTGCCAGTCATCAGCTGCATGTTCTCACTCAGTGATATTTCTGTTTGTACTGAGGTACAGGGCTGATGGGCAAAATACATCCTATGACTAAAAAATCCCCTCAAAACCAACCCCCCCCACACAATTTTACAGAAATGTTTTCTTTATCCAAAAGTTGCAGTTGGTTTAAACTATTCACATAATTTCCATAGCTCTCTCTAGCCTTTTCTCTGTTAATCAGTGCAGCAGCTGCTCAGATTTCTTTCTCTTCTATCTATGAAATGGCTTCAAGAAAACTATTTCTCCCAAGCAACTTCTCCTCAGGTCACCTTTATGGCCTACAATTCAATCTAACACATGTCGATTTGCAGATTTCTGGCACATAGAGAGAAGGTTCATTTTTAATTTCCTCCAGATTTCTAAGGGTTGATGAGTTCTGCATGACAAGCCAATCCTGACAAGAGTTCACCCAGCCTCTTCAGTGCCTTTTCTATGTCCTAAATTATAACTAACTAAAAGAGGGCAATTAGGTCTTGACAATTAAAATGATTTACTTACTCGAAGTAACAGCTGGAGCATCTCCACATATCTGCAGGAAAAGAGATTCAGATTTATTAAACTGCCAACCAGCTAGACTAAATGAATCAATGAAGAAGGTACTCAGCTAGCAAGATTACAGCAAATATATATATAGTATTCATGTAAATTTGGAAAATGTTAGGGCATAACATTGATATTGCTCAATGGCTGAAAATATGGCAAAATAACATAAAGCTCACAAGATTGGTTAATTTTAAAGAGAATATATATACAATGTTTTATAGGTGGCACATGACCCCAGAAAAATTGTCAAAGATGTATACAGATGTAACAAATAAGTGTTGGAAATGTGAAATACAAGTGGAAAGTTATTATCATATGTGGTGGTCATGTGGAGGAGCGAAAAAATACTGGAAAAGAGTACGTGCTATGTTACAACAAATATTGCTCTGTAAGGTGCCATTAACCCCAGAATTGTTTTTACTGAGTATGATACCCGATAATATAGATAAATCAAAGGAATATATAGTTATATATATTGTGACGGCAGCTAGAATTATATATGCTAGAAACTGGAAAAGCCCGATGGTACCGAAACAAGAAGATTTATTGAAAAGATACGGGAAATAGCCGAAATGGATGTCTTATCAGAAGTCATGAAAGATCAACCCCTGCAAAAGTCAACAGAAAGATGGGATTAGTTAATCAAGTGGACTGAATCAACAGGCAGCGTCTGAATAACATATATTGAAATGAGAACTTTATCTACAAGGCAGAAAAGAGTAAATAGAATAACTTAAAAATTTGATATAGCAATAGGTATAGACTGGATATCAGTATGTTATTGTCTCCCCTCTTCCTCATCAATTCCAGTTCCCTTTTCCTTTTTGAGATGGAACTTTTGCATTAACCCAATGGGGGAAAAATGAAAGAAGCCTTTTCTTATCATTTTAGTCTTGTGTGACTTTATGGTAAAGAGCCTCTGAAATACAAAAGCTTAATGAAACTTATGAATTCCGTACATGTTTCATATTTCATACTAATTTGCTTTTTCGCCTTGTATTTGATTGGCTTTTTGGAAGGATTTGCCCCCATTTCCTTTATTGTTAGTTGGAGTGCCTGACTAGAATCTTTCCTCTGATGGACTACAGCCTGCACTACTGGACTATGGGAGGAAAAGATGCACTTCAGCCTCCCATATTTTGGGGTGTTCAGTTGGAGGATTGACCATATTACCCTTAGTGAATTTGTGTAGGTTTTGTTTTGAGTTTGATCATGATGGTTACTTCTCTTTCTTACCTGTATTGTTTCCTGCTGATGTATCAAAGAGTATGGTGATGCGATGACGAATGTGAACTTCAAAATACTGTTAGTGCCTGCACATGTCTGTGAATGATTGTTTTATTTTTGTTTTTCCTGTAGTGTTGTTATTGTCCAGTTTGGAGCTGACTATTGTTGTCTTATCCCTGCTTTTTTTAAAGCTACTTTTGGGGTTCTGTAGGGCTTAATTCTCTGCAGCACTGCAGATGGTGAAAGCAGCTATGAAATTAAAAGACACCTGCTTCTTGGGAGGAAAGAGATGACAAACCTCAACAGCATCTTAAAAAGCAGAGGCATCACCTTGCTGACAAAGGTCCACATAGTTAAAGCTATGGTTTTTCCAATAGCGATGTATGGAAGTGAGAGCTGGACCATAAAGAAGACTAACCGCTGAAGAATTGATGCTTTTGAATTGTGGTGCTGGAGGAGACTCTTGAGAGTCCCCTGGACTGCAAGGAGAACAAACCTATCCATTTTGAAGGAAATCAACCCTGAGTGCTCACTGGAAGGACAGATCCTGAAGCTGAGGCTCCAATACTTTGGCCACCTCGTGAGAAGAGAGGACTCCCTGGAAAAGACCCTGATGTTGGGAAAGTGTGAGGGCAAGAGGAGAAGGGGACGACAGAGGATGAGATGGTTGGACAGTGTCATCAGAACTACCAACATGAATTTGACCCAACTCTGTGTGGCAGTGAAAGACAGGAGGGCTTGGTGTGGTCTGGTCCATGGGGTCACAAAGAGTCAGACTAAACAACTAAGCAACAGCAACAACAACACTAAAGATAATTGTGGATATTTATAAAATTGATGCACTCACGTTTTCTCTGAAGACAGAAGCTCCTGGGCAATGAGATGGGCTCTGGATTGTCCTTCTTTCTGTTCAACAATAAAATAATAATTTATTTATTTATTTGATTTATATCCCGCCTATCTGGTCTACTCGCCCACACTAGGCGGCTTCCAGTACAGTATAGGATAAAACAGTAAAACACAAGAACATTACATAATCAGGGTCAAATGCAGAAAAAGTTAAGAAGTTATGAGTGCCCTTGGTTTGCATACAGTTTGGATCCTGTACTATAGAGATAAAACCACCATAAAGCTGAAAATCACCAAACTGCGATCAACAACTAGAACAATAAGGAATTTTTTTGCAAACATTGCATGATCTATGTAAACTTAATATTCCATGAAGTTTTAAATGAATGTTTTAAAGTGATGTTTAAAAGCATGGCAGAATCCTCTCCTTTTGAAAGAAGAGTTTTCTAGGTGCCAAAGCAAAATGATATGGTGAGTGCCAGGTATATTTCAGATACTCGCATCCCAGTATTTGTCCCCACTTGCTTCGATATTCATACGGAAATCAACAGAATTCTGTGGCTGAAATCCTGTTGCTTAGCATAGTAAGCTGCACTAGAGAAAGCCTACTGAATCTGTCGTGATTTTGTGTCAACTCCCCTATAAGTTCCATGGATTCACATAGGCCTGCTCTAGTTGCATCTTACTATGTTAAGCAGCAGGATTTCAGCGTTTGACCCCTTTAGAAGGGCCAGAATACTACTGTACTATGAGTCTTCATAAACTAGAATGCACACATACACATGGACAATGAGTACAAAGGAAATTCGTAAGTGGTACTGCCAAGATCTGTGAAATGCAAGTGGTAGCAACACTAGCCACTCTGCACGTCCTCTGTGGATGGGCTTGGCTGAGAACTGCCAAGACGCCCAGCATATTTCACCACCGACCAAGGTTCCATCTCCTTTCTTGTATACAGTTTGTCACAGTCGGGCATTCTATAAATGATTAATTTGTCTTGAGCCAAAAGTCAAAACACTGGGACCCCCGGGTATCACATGGGTAGTCTAGGGCGAGTTCTGAGACAGTGTCTCTAGGCGTTGCCCTCATCTTGTGTTGTTTAACTACTGTTTGTTTAACCAGGAAATGAACTCTGAGATTGACGACAGTATCCGGAGACAGACTTCTGGGAACAGGCAGACGTAGGGAGTGCGGGTCCTTCAACTATCAGGTTCTGAACACTGAACCTGCAACCGTGGTTGAAATATGAAGAGCTGTCACTTCATTTTAGTGATCTTTGACAGTTCTTCGTCAGACCAGCAGAAAGTGTTTTTATGCTTCCTTCCCAGACTTCTGTTTCCTAGTAGCAACAGAGGCTCCAGTCCCTGCTGTTAAGTCTGAGCTTCAGTAAAGGAAGCCCTATATCTGGCAGAAAGTTCTGGCTGTTTGCCCACAGGCCCCATTGCTTTTAATAGCCCTATCTTCCTCAGAATCTAAGGGCCTTTCCAGATGATTTTTTTTTTAAAAAAAATACTTTTATCTTTAGCACTAGTCCTGTCCAAGACTATTAATGCAATATTCCACTCTCACAGAAGAGAAGGGCAGGTAAATTCACTGGAAATGATCAAAACATTTTCTATTTTGTCTTTTATTTCTTATTCTTTTTTTAAAGATCAGAGAAGATGTGGTTTTATTACTACACGGGAGGGAAAAAAACTGTCAGTTTAAATAGGAAATGTACCAAACATGGGGCACTGAGAGATGGGGCGACGGCATCATCATGCACCAGCCACAAACATTTTTACAGCTGAAATGAAAAGTTCAAAAATGCTGCCCAATGCTCTCCCCTTGAAGGTCAGAGATGGAGACTGACAGCAGGAAAAGAGGGGCACGTTCTGGTACTTGCTTCTGGAATTATTGCTTTGCATTGGTTTGTGATGAAGTCAGCTCAGAGGAAGTGAGTAGACTTCCATATGTTAGCTACAACTTAAAACTAAAAGGATCAGGAGTAAAGCGCTCAACTCTCTCTCACACACAAACACACACAATCACATGCACACACATTAATTTTTTTTACAAATTCAGAAGATGGTACAGCCATGGTTCATCATATTTAAAGATATTAGCATGTCTGGGATACATTAAACCATGTGTTCTTGAATACATGAAACAAATAACATAAGCTGCCACACTGGCATTACAAAATATTTAGAGTAGTAATGTAAAAAAGTTGGAAAGCAACAGTTTGCGGATCTGTAGATCATTGGCCACCAGTCATCTACACAGGAAAAGACAGTTTCCCAAAACATTTGGCACCAGCTTCATTGGCATAAAGCTTTACTGGCACAAGTACAGGCTACTGTCAAGGGCTCTGACAGTCAAAACAGCACCTGAGCACTACAAACCACACAACCACAAGAGCTACTAAATCTCTCCCAAACTCATTCTCCACACATGTGTATGGGGAAAACAAAAACATTGGCAAAGGTATTGTGACCCATTAGGTTAAAAACCTAAGAGAAGAAAATACAAATGTGCGTATTTCGCTCTCAGTGTTATGAAAAGGGAGCACGTTTTTGGTTATTTAGTATGTTGTTCAATATTTATTGGCAGAAAGAAACACTTTCTGCATCAGAGGCCAAAAGAACTTGCCCAAATTTGAGCCCCATGGCCCTTGACTAGGAACCTCAGTTCTGCTTGTGTCCCAACACAATACAGCTGGAATTGTTCCTCAGTCTCTAGAGGACCCATTATGGGTGTCTTTGGGGAGAGATGAGTTAACTCTTTCTGACCCTGTCTACAAACCTGTCTACACTGCAGAATCACACTGATTTACTCCTCAGTTTCTCTTCTTGGGCTGCCTTAGGGAGTGTTGTCCCAAGTGTACCACTGCAGTTTTCTAGCACAAAACTCAAAATATACCACCATACTATAAATTGCAAGGTTCTTTAGGACAGAACCATGACAGATAAAACGGATATAACAGGGTAGTGCTGAAATATCTAAAGAAGGAAAGGATTAGTGAATCTTCAACAGATAACAGTCTAACTTCCTCTCCTTCCATGCTTCCCTATTTTGAAGTTGTTTTGCACAGGAAGCCGCCAAATCCCATGTAGCTTGATGCCCTCTCCAATACATCCTGTGCAGGACAGATGCAATTCTGTGCAGGAATTGTCATAATAATTATGGGGGGAAATGGCCAAAAAGCCTCTGAGACATCCCACAAGGGTTTCTGTGAAACTCCTTGGAGAAAAAAAGTCAAGCCGAGATATCTTATTGTGAGCAGAAACAAAGATTTGTTTCCCTAAGATTTGAAAGGCTGAGAGATCAGCATCCTTAAGAGTACAGCAGTCCCAAAATTCATATAGGATGACTGTAAAACTTGCTTGGGAGGGTTGTGGGAACTTAGTGGATCCCTTCAGCAAGAGAAAGGAAGAACAGAAATTAAACAAATAAATAAAATTTCACCCTCGGATGCTGCTATACTTAGAAAGGCTAGTGAAAGTAACTGTAATAATTTATGAGGTGACCCACTACTTTAAGTCCAGACGCTGGCTATACATGCACTGGCCATGAGAAGATGCCTTTTTCAGATGTATGCATCTATACATCTATACATATAGATGTATGCATATATGGCTCCTCTGCCTGAGAGAGAATTCTGGCTCAGTAAGGATCTGAGTACACCATGGAATTCTTGTGAATATGTGGAAATATTATGGAAATATTTTGGTGTTATATGGTTATTAACATTTCCTGTCCTCCAGTTGTGTGTACCTTTATAGTGTGGACATGAGCAAATCTGCTGTCATCACTGCCTTCTCCTAGTCCTGTTTCTGTTTTGTGAGAACCAGAAGCATGTAAATATAAAAGTGCTTAAGTGTATAATCCTATACCAATTTACCTGCGTGTAAGAACATTGAAATTAGTGTGACTGATTTCTGAGCGGACGTGTACAGAATTAAATCATTTAGTAGAAGGAAATGCCAGACAAGAAGAACCATATGCCTGCACTCAGCAGGGCAGGCATCAGAGCATCAGACCCAAAGGAGTGGGAATTAATTGCCCACACCAGCCATCACTGAGGAAAACTACAGGGTTCCCTCATGACATTCTTGTCATGGCTGGTTTGCCCTTCCTTTGTCTTCATCTTTGTATGCTCAGGTGGCACCGAACAGATAAGACAGGAAAAGGCATAAGACAGCATGGCTAAAATAGCAACTTGCCATTCGAAATGAAATATACATATCTTGTCGATAAGGTACTACCCCTGCCTGCCAAAGGGCTGGGTAACAAGATGAATAATGAGGAAGTTCAGACTTGTGTCTGATGTGTGGCATTTGTAAGATCCAGAGTGTTTCGGGAGGCCATTGGTGCTTTGCAAGCACCTCTTATTTCATGAGGTGCTAACAAGTTGATGGTTTATCAGTTATATTATTTCGTCATTCTTTTGGGAGCGCTTTAGCTCATCAGTGACCTAGTTTCCTGTTTTTCTTTAAGAGCACCCTGTCTTCAGATAGCAATGTCTGAGGCAATTATTGTTTTAGCCAGAATTTGGAAATAATTAGTTGCAAACAACTAGTTACTGGTAATAATTCCTTTTTCCTATTAGCAAATTCGTAACTACTGTACATTGCATCAGAGTCTGGAATGTTAGGCTTAAAAATTAGTTAAATGACAGGAACTGGAAAATTAGGTCATTGGTATCTGCATTTAAAATGAAGCCATTTAACTCCTTAATTCTACATTAGAACTATTGACATGTAAACTTAAACATCAGTTAACACACTCTCAATAGAGGGCACATGTGACTCCCACTCCCCAAAGAAAAAAGGTCATTACCTCCTTTCAAAACCTAGCATTCTGGAAAATGAAAAAAGAAATGGGAAAACTTTAAAGATTTAACACTTTTATTTTAGTGTGAGTTAAACTGATTTCGTCAGACACCGAATGCAATACATGACTGTAATATGTATGCATATCTCCACGATGAGGTGAGGATACAGACAACCTGTATGCATTAACGAACTATTGTTTGGTTGTTGTGGGTTATTCGGGCTCTTTGGACGTGCTCTGAA